GTTGATCACAAAGAGTCGGTTGAGGCGTGTGATCGTGACTTACTGGCCGCGGTGGCCTTGAGCTTCACATGTGCGACTATGCATAGTCGCTGGATTAGCTCGGAGCTTCCAATGGTACCCCAATGCGTCATCCTGGTGTAGTCGCTCCGTCTTCTACGGCTGACGAGAATGTCGGTCGTTTATACTGAGCTTGGGCAGTACAACGTTTCTCCAAAGTTGGCCAGACGAAATCGTCGTCGTCCAGTGGTCGAAGTCTCACCCTGGTCGGCGTCGTTTGTTACATTGCTTAAATTTGCTTCACTGTTGTCACAGGAACGTGGTTACCGGCCCACCGTGAGAACATGTCGGCCCATACATTGTCAGGGCCTGGTATATGTTCAACAATGTACCTGAAATACATGAGCTTCATCACCCACCTGAGAAACTTGTCCTTCACGTGCTTTTTGACACTCTCATGTGGCACGTCTATGGTCGTAAAACATTCGAAATGGGTGAGGCCGTAGCAGCAAATAGTCCATTCTCTCGCAGGCCAATACAATTGGCATGGCTTCCTTCTCGATGACAGCCCAGTTTAACTGGCTGCCAGTGAAAGTCCCGCTCATGCACTAGGCGAGTAGGTGTTGCTGCTCTGTGACTTGCCGCTTCGGGTCGTACGCCTTCATTTGGGTCACGATAGCTGCCCAACCAATGTCGGATGCGTCGGTGAACAGGCACGATGTGGCGTTGTCGTCGGGAAAGTCTAATGTCGTCGACGTCGCCAACAATTCCTTCACTTGGAAAGCGTGTCGTTTCTGCTTGTTCAACTCGATCTCAATTTCTGCTGGTACACGTCTTGCACGCTTTGTGCACGCAAGGGCTTCATCGAGACGTCGTTATAGGGGGGGGGGGCGACTTGCCGCGCAAGATCTACGAGACTCTCTCGCATCCAGTTAATAGCGCAAACGAATTGCTGTAGCCAGCGGTTGTCGGGTACGACAGTGATCGTAGAGTGTCGATCCGTGCTGGATCATGCCGGACACCTTGGTGATTGATCACACGTCCACACACTTTACTCCTGTCTGGTAGAGATTTGATTTCTTGACGCTCAATTTCAATCCAAACAGATTCACCAACGAGAAAAACTCAGCTAGTTTCTCATGATACACCTCAATGTCGTCCGCGTACAGCAAAAGGCCACCGATCCAGATCAAAAGATGCTCATACAGCAAACTGGCGAAACACTCTTCCATTGTCTTCTGGAAGTGAATCGCAGGATCTGCACATCCTTGGGGTGCACGGCGAGGTGTGAATTTGTTTTGTGTTAGTCATGTAGGACATGAACTCTTGACAGAGCTCGGCTAGATGCAACTGCCAAAACCCTTTAGATAGTGAAAGAGTCCGAAATGCTTCATGTCACGTGCATTTTCCAAAAGTAATGAAAGAATCGGCATCACAGCTGCCATCACTTCAGTCTACGCATTTCTTGCTCGATATTCCGTTGTTTGCCGCAAATTCATGATGTCAGCTGACATCTTGGCCGGTAGAACGGAGTTCGCTCATCGACTCTTGGGATTCTCATAGAGGAGTCCTAAGACGAACATTGAATTCACATTAGAACTTTTTGATTTGCGGAGGACATTTGCGGGGCTTACATTTTGTAGGACGAACCCCACCCTTCCGTCGCACTTCCAGCGGCAGCACGTTAGCTGGAGGGTCATCACAAAGCTCGGGCAGCCAAATGTCATAGGCATGGGCGGTTGTTCGCAATTTCTCCACATACTCCACAGAAAATCTATTCTCCAGTGCACGATCAATCAGGCGCCCCACAGCGGCGAAAATATAACCATCTCCACTTTGTTCAGAAACGTCAAGATTTACAGGCATCTCGTCCGCCTCCATATCAATTAGATCACCACTGGTCTCATCATCACATCGCGTAGCTAGTTGTTCGACTAGGCGGTCGACGTCAATCCCTAGCGAGGTCAGTATTTCATTACCCACTATGAGCTCTACGTCATCGACATCAACCACCAGAACGTCCACCATGTTCATAGGCTCTACGGGTCCAGCGGCTACGTGTATCATCAGTTGCAGTTTATACTTCACCTTGGCTGTCACTGTCACTAAACCAAATGTATGGTGAAACACTGGAAATTCGAGTTCCTCGGTCGTCACACTTGGATCTAGTGTCATCAATTGCTCTTAATGCGTTTGTCCAATAACCGTGAAATCATATCCACTGTCGGGACAGTATAGCAGCTCTAGTACTCCATCCAACAGCACTACTCGATCAGCAGATGGGAGTAATTCGCCAAGTCGTTTCAGCTTCACCTTCTTATTCCCGCGTGCGTCGCGCATCTTCTTGTACTGCTCCTCCTTCTCTTGTCGAGGGGCTTGAGTGCACCCGCGCAACCAATGCATCTCTTGACACTTCGGGCATGGTCCCGGCGGTTTTTTTTGTCGATCCAGAACACGTAGGCTTGGCTTTGGAAAACGTAGACTTGGGCTTGATATCTGCTGGTATCCGGCCTGCATCACCATTGTTTGTCGATGCGGCAGACGGCTTAGTGTCCCAGCGCTTTTTCTTTTCTGACTGACTGAACTTGGATGTATCCTTGCTTTGTCCAATTACGTCTCGCTTCTCTCGCTTCAAACGTACATGTTGACGCTCTAACTCGTTCGCCTTGTCCAGGATGAGTCGGAACAGGACCTATGGGTCCTTGGCTTGGCAGCGACTGCGTAGGTGAAACGGACACACTGCTTCACTTCCTGCTTCAATGACCTGGGGAGCCGGTTTGCGATCAGCCTCTTGCACTTCCTTTTCGTGCCATTGGGTCCCCTGAAGCATTCCGGGAGGCCGTTTTCGTCCACGAGAGAGTTGAGAGTCTTGTAGTCCAACAATAGGACATTCACATCGCTCTCTCGTCGATTGAAGATCTGCTCCTCCTTGAACAGCTCCTTGATGTCGGGAAGCGTGTCGTTCTTGATGCTGCTCACTACGTGCTCAATCTCTGCGAGCAATATGCCTTCCGCAGCATCCGCCGACTGCACATTGAGCTCTAGATTGCAGAATACATCAAGTAGTTGCGGTTGAAAGAATCCTAGACACTCTGTACCACCACCTCGTAGTCCTCATCAGCTACTCGGCAGTGGTCTTGCATCTTGGACTCGTAGTCGCGTCTTTCTCGCTTCCATCGAATGAGTGCCTCGTGCAAGACTGACTCGATCATGGGCGGCAGAATCGGCGTAAACAGTGGGACGGTACTAATGGGTCCATCCGATCCAGCAGCGCGCACCATTCTGGTTACAGCTGGGTCTTCGAGGGTCAACCGACGGTCTTTAGTCAGGATATCAGGCTCCTCGTCTCAGTAGAAATGGCTTCGGTTTCACTTATGGGCAGGTCGGATTTGTTGACAGTGTTCAACCAGTGGTAATTCTGCTAAATGACCCTTTGTAGTGTTTCCCGGATCCGAATACCAAAACTCCAACACAGAGATGCGGGGGCCAACCCGCACGGAAATAGTAGCCGAATGTATTGATGTGCTGGTGGCTTGAAAGATTGGGAAGTGAGCTCCTTGGGAGACCGTGAGTCTGGTGCTAACCAGCCCGTGCTCGCCAAGGTGAACCCATAGAGAAAGGCAGACTGTCGTGGACAGACTGCTAATAATGTACGTGCGACGCGTCAAAGGAAACATGCAGTTGGGCTTACTAAATCCTAATACATATTGGTAAGGCACAACATGCCCACCAAGATCACAGAGCTGCACCCATTGTCCGCAGCTGATTGACGACGGACACCTTTGGATCCATCTGTGATCTGCACTGTCGACATCACTCGGTGACTGAGCCTGCCGCTCAGCACCTGGTCTGGATGTCCATCATCAATATCGAGGTTCCACTGCGGTGATACCAAGCTGGAAAATCTGGAATCCACTACATCTCTCCTAATTTTGCTACCAGTGAAATACAACGCCGGGAAGGCCATATTGGTCGTTTCGAGGCAGGAAGAAGCCGACAGAGTGAAGAGCAAGAGTGGGCAGGTGATTGGAGCATGACAGGGCTCTATAAGTGTGCATGTAAATGCTTACGAAGTTGCGGTGCTCTATCAGCACTAAGGAATAGCGGACACATAGTCCGGATTACGACATTTGCTGAACTGTAAGTGTTTTTTACCAGCCTCGGCAATTTGGGGTTTCGCCAGCCTACCTGGTGGACTTCAGCACATGTTTTTTGCGGTTAGGCCCAAAATTCTAAATAAAAAATACTAAGTACTGCAGAAATAAGCATTTATTCGCTCAGTTTTTGTTTTGTCATTTCAGAGTTTTTCGGTGCAATCGACGATCCGGATGCACCGGCTCAGTTCTTCGCGCGCCAAATGAAGTTCTGTAGGGATCTACGTGGAAGTTGCAGGGTCCTTGTGGGCAAGGGTCAACGCGTCTTGGCTTATACGAAGGCCGCATTAAGGTGTCTCATATTTCAAACTTACGGTAGCGTATTTTTTTAGGATAGAGCTGTATACGAAGACAGCGTACTGCTGTATTGTCAGGCACGCCCCCATCGGTACAGTCTCTATTATGACTTAGCTTAAGCAGCCGAACCGGCCGACCTCAAGAGCACAATCATCGCGAACGTCATTGTCGCAATGGCGTCACTGGCGCTTCCTCCAATAATGACCAGATAGGAAAACCGCCTGTCGTTCAGAGACGTTTGGGTATTTCATGGCTGCAATCGAATTGCCTGTTCAGCAGGCCTCAGCAGGCCCTTTTGGAGACTACAGCACTGCTTATATCACTGCCTCGTCGATAAGACCGAGAGTATCGATTCGAGACGCCCACGTATTGAATACCAGTACATGTAATACCTGCATCCACATCAGCTGCTTCCACAACAACTATGGAAGATCAAGATTGCCGTCAACTTAATGGTTTGATGGCATCAAGTTGAACCAACTGTTCATGGCAATCTTCACTGTTAATTAATTTGTGGTCCACATATTTTGTTTTTACCAATATTTTAAACCAATGACTACGATGCGGTATGCGCTGGAAACTTGTGATTGGTCGAACCTGGTGACTCCAGTCGGCTACTGCCACAAAAGGCTACGCAGCTGGCGTGAAGCCAGCCAAGAGGCCCACACGTGTGGCACTTGCGTGGTCACCACGGTGGTGAGCTGGTTGACTCGAACACGCGATGAGTGCTCGCTCCGACGATACGTTTTCTTCATAGGGAACTCAAGGATACTGGCGCTTGATGTGAAAGTGTTACGACGAACGTCGTCTGTTCGTCCTCACTTGGATATACCTCACAGAGTCGTTGGGCGAACCCACTTATCTCTTCGTTTTGTGGACGTTTCCAAACTTTCCACATGAAGACCACGTGCTTGAGCCATCACGGGCGGTTGCACGTGAGCTGGATTTCTATGCCATAATGCAACTGATGCTAGAGCGGGTATAACACAGCCATCCGTTGCCAGTTTAGAGCTCTCGACTTCATCAACGAACCTCAGTTGCCCAATCAAGGTGACCCGTTTTTTCCGCCCTCACCCCGTCCGTACCAAAATTTGTATTCTCGCCACACGTCGTCCCTTCGAGTCAGTCAGTCGAGAAAGCGCCGTCCGGGCCTCAACCGCAGTTCGCTTACACCAGTCCAGGAACCTCACGCAGCCATGAAGAGCGACTTCATCGGCGGCACCATCGCCGTGATCTCGGCCTTCATGTCCATCTTCGGTGTGAATCTGCAGAAATACTCGCATGACAAGGAGGAGCTCCGTGCCGTACAACGTCCGTACACAAAGCGTCCGATCTGGTGGGTGGGTATGTTCTGCGTCGTGGGCGCGTCTCTCGGCGACTTTTTGGCGCTGGGCTTCGCGCCTCAGACGCTCGTGGCTTCACTCGGAGGCGGCTCCACCATTCTAGGCAACTGCCTCATGTCGCACTTCTGGCTCAAGCAGAGTTTGTACCTGACGGACATTGTGGGCGTCGGCTTCGTGTCCTTGGGCGTCGTGGTGCTCGCTGCAGCCAGTGAAGAAGACGAGGGTCACTACCAGATGGACCAGATCTATGCGCTTATGGAGGCAGCGCCATTCATTCTGTACGCGCTTATCACGACGGCCTTCTGTATGACGCTGTACATGCGCGCACGTCGCTCCAAAGCTCCAGCGCTGCGTGTGGCCAGTAATGACAAGGAAGATGCGCGTGTGGACGACGTTCAGGAGAAGAAACGTGAACTCGCATCCAAGCAGAAGAACTCGGAAGGGTCGCCAGCATTGGACGAGCCAAGTAAGAGCAAGGGCGCGATGATGTCGCCCTTCCCGTCGCCCATTTTCGGAAACCACTTGTCGCTCTCGCCTATGGATAATGAAGTGAGTGATCATCTGGAGGAGATCGAGTTGTCGAGCCTAAAAGTCGGCAAGTACCACGAGAGCGAGATCGAGAAACACACGCTTATTATTGACCCAAAACTGCCACTATACTGGGCGGCTATCTCCGGTACAATTGGCGGGCAGTCGGTGCTGCTCGCCAAGTGTGTGGTGGAGCTCATCTCTTCAACTGTATCGGGAGATAACCAATTTCAGTACTTTGGTACATATGTACTGTGTGCGGGTATGGCGGCCACGTTGCTGACCCAGACGCACACACTCAACCTGGCTACCATGGTCGGAGACACCATGTCGTCCTACCCGGTGTTCCAGGGCTTCTGGATCACAATGAGTAACATCAGCGGCGTCGTGTTCTTCCAGCAAGCAGGCAACTTCACCAGGACCCAGTGGGTTATGTTCCCTACTGCAATTCTCTTGGTGGCCATGGGTATCTTTCTGGTCTCAAAGCACGAGAAATTCGGCAATTTTGTCAAATACTCGATCGCCATGCCCATCAGCCTCAGCAGCCCTCGCCAACACGATATTGTGGCCCAGTCGTTCGTCTTCCGTGTGTCAACGCCCCAGAAATTGCAGGAAGAGGATTACGCCAGCAGCACGGAGAGCAGTGACAGCCCGGACGAACACTCCAGGCGAACATTGGAAGTAGTATAGGCTTAGCTGACTCGGTTTGGCACTTTTAATGAAAAACCCTTAAGAAAAGGGGCTGAAGAAGCTAGTGTGGTGGCGAAGCTCTGCGTAATATATTCTTCGTAGTGAATTGGTAATATTTGTCTTAACCTTTTACTGTAGTATGAGTTATTTTAAGTTTTCAAGTGAGCACGTCGTGAAACTGCTTCATGTTGTCTAGCTATCGCTATCGTTTGGTGAGTAAATTTCCCTATAACTCACTCATCGTGAGTGAGTTATAGGGGAATAATAGTGAGATAGCGCGATAATGGCTTTCTCGTGCGTCGGGTCGAGCTCGAGAATGCGGCGTAACTGAGCACAAGAGCACAAGATTGTCAATCTTTAAATAAAATTAAGAAAATTCTTCGAAGGAAAGGCGAAGACGTACCTGGTGTTGCGCTTCTTTGGGTCGGCCCAAGTGCAGTAAGGCCACTGAATAGTTGAAGATAGCCTTGACGTTATTAGGCTGAATGTGCTTGGCCTGCTTGAAAGACTCCAGCGCTTCTGAGACCTTGTTCTGAGCCATCAAAGCAGATCCGAGATTCACATACAGCGAGGCAAAATTGTGTCCGCCGGGAAGGGCTAACGCTTTCTCGTAGCAATCGATGGCAAGACCGAGGTGGTTCTCCTTGTGGTGCTGTAACCCTTCAGCGTACAATGTCTGGATCTGTTTCAATGATTCCGGATCGGCAGGTTCTTTCACCACTTCAACATCATCTTCCGCTGTTTGCTCGGGCTCAACTTCATTCGAGCTAGTAGAGACGATTGAAAATCCTCCAAGCTGAGATGGCCTCTCTGGACTTTTGATAGCGTTTGCACTTAGTTGCTTAGCTCCGATGCTTTCGCTCTCACTGCCTTGCTTCGCCTTTAAAAGCTGCTTGCTCGCTGGCGACATTGCTGTCGCAGGCCTCACTCGTATCACCGGCCGACAACCAGTTCCACTCTGGAAGCTTTCACGCTTCCTACTGCCTTGGTGTTGACATTGACGAGCTGAGAGCGACATGCGCTTTGCTTTGGTTCCTTTGGTTTTGGCATCGCACCTACCACTTTTGACACCGCGGGCCGACCGCATATTAGGTTTACCAGTATTCCTACTAGCATTAGTTTTTCGGACACACTCTCGACGAACCAATAGCCCCCGAACCTGACGCTGTATAGTTGTGGCCGCATTGATTTCGGTCAACATGTCTATCAGCTCGCCATCGGACGCAAGCTGGCTGCTGTCTCGGCGACTTGGCAACGTCTTGTCTTCGTCTCCGTCGTCACCAGTCGTATCAAAATCGTCTTCATATGACTCATCCTCTTCTTCTTTTCCATCTTCATTTATTCCATTCTCCTCTCTGTCTTGACTCTTCTCATCATAGGTCTCATCTTCCCTTTCTTTTGTATTGTTAGCGGCACTATCGTCGTCATCGATCTCCATAGAATTTGTTCGTGATTTTTTGGGTTTCCCAGGAGCAGAGCTCTCATTTCTTAATATTTGTGTTGGAGGTAGTCGCTCGGTGTGAGCTCGTTGAATATTCTTAGAAACTCTTAGTTTTCTTCGCACACCTCCGGCACTGAAGCTTCCTCGGAATGATGATCTCTTCGATAGTGGCGATGGTTCCACAAATATTGCTCTACCAGAATAAATTGCCGTCGCGAGGGATCGAGACGTCAAATCAAGGGATAAAGGCTTTCGAGTCGAGCTTGTCAACGGACGATCACATTTATCGTGCTGATTCCCGAATTTGTTTTTATCGTGGCCGACCGCTAGTGATAAAGCTCCTGCTTTTACCAGTTTCTGTGGGATCAGCAAGCCGTAGTTCGATCTCAGAGCGGGGGGAGCCACATCGAGGGAGAATGCCGAGCGTTGGCGCCCTGCTGAGTACCTCAAGTCGGTTCTCTCGCTTCCGAGTCCTCTCTTCTCATGAGACGACGCACTGTTCAAACTTCGAAAGGACTTTGCTATTGGCGAAGGAGACGAGAGGGTTTGTCTTGACTTTGCAGTAATCGCAGCAACTACCGTGTCAGTGTACGTCGCGGATTGTTGACTCGCGTTTGCTGCCTTCTCCGCTTGGTAGGCAGCAATGTTTACAGTGTGTTTGGAGTCCTCAATCGCTCGAACCAAGCTTGACGCCAACATCACAACGCGGTCTTGTGTGGCATGGACAGTGATAGTTTTCTGAAGTAGTTTTTCCAAGTTACACTGAACAGCAGCGTCAGAGACCAACACGTACAGAATTCAGTAGAGACTGCCATTACCTCACTCATCATGTACGCATATAGCGCTGATTCCTCCGCTAAAGCCGACAGAATCGTCATTACACCAATCTACAAAAGAAAAGCTCGTCATTTAACTCTCTCACCACCTAAAGACACTCGCGTACTGTACCTGCAGTCCTGTATGAAAGCGGAACTCACGCATAGTACTCGCCAGTTCGGGTATGATCCCCAAGTCCACCATTTCTTGGAGTACTGGTCGCTTCCCTTTGCCGTCTCTTGTACTAGAGTTGATATAGCGTAATATACTATGAAGAATGTCCTGCTGCTCTTGCATTTGCTGTTTACTCGCTTGAAGAGCTCGAACAACCGCACTCATCTGCTCCTGACTCGCACTAACACGTCGTTCTCTCGTTCTGTCAAGTTTCTCGCTTCCCTCTAAGTCTGACGACGTATTAGTCGATAATTTTCGACGATTCTTTGCTGCCTTTCGCAGCGGAGCTCCTCGCTCTCCTCCGTGCAGAGGAACGTAGTGGACTGTATTGGTCACTCCAGCACGCAGAGGTTCCAACGGTGAGCGTCTATTATCCACTGTCACATTTCCTCTCGACTTTGCTAGCACATCCAAGAGAAAGGCACTCGCTTTTGATCGAGGCACACGAGTAGGTTCGGCCACGACTTGAGGCGCAATGTGGACAGTTGTCGCCGACCGCTCCTGCAGAAATCTCGGCCGCAAAGACTTGTCGCCTCCATCTTCCAATTCTTCCGGAGTCGCTGGCATTGCCACTCGTTCTACAGCACTAGAGGAGCGTCGAATCAGCTGCTGTCGCAGACGTACAGACTCAACCACCGGCAACGTGTCTGTACTTTGCTCCAAGTGCTGCAACGGGTCCATCTCCTCGTCCTCTTCATCTTCCTCCAGAAGAGGCTGGATCCGACTCTCCTTACGAGACAACATCACGTCTATGAATGGGTACAAGCTTCAACTATTTTAAAAGTTGAAGTTTATTTAAAAAAATAAAATTAAACACAAAAAAGTATTAAAAAAAAGTGATATACCAGAGTTACGTGAAACTTAGCTGGAGCGCTGCTTCTTCGAAGAGGACGACGACTTGGACGAGCTGCTGCGTTTCTTGCTTGAGCTGGACGAGCTCGTCTTGCTGCGGCTGCTGCTGCTCTTGCTCTTGGACGAGCTGGACGAGCTGCTCTTCTTGGCCTTCTTGGCCAGATCGTCCTCGTCCTTGCTGCTCTTGCTCTTGAGCTCGTCGTTCTCTCGCTCGATCATGCGCGTCAAGAGCTCTCCGCGCTTCTGCAACTCGCCGATGGTCCGAGACTTGAAGAACCAGTCGAAGCGGAACTGCCAGGCCTTGCGGATCTCATCGCGGATCTCGCCCCAGTGCTCCAGAGGACCGTACTTGTTCATCATGACCACCAGGAACACGTCTTCGTCCAGGATGTAGCCCTTGCTCTTGTAGCCAGCAGGGTAGTGCAGTCGCATGTCACGGAGCGGGTGGCTGTAGCGACTGCACTTGCGCGCAAGCGCCTGCTTCACGACCTCATTCCGCTCCAAGCGCTTCTCGCCTCGCTCGATCTTCTCCATGTACTTGGCGTAGTCCTTCAGCTCCGTGTAGCGCGTCCAGAACGTGTCGTAGTATCTCTCCACCTGCACAGGGTCCTTCCCAAGAACCAACGACACTTCCTCGCACACCCGCGTCTTGTCAGCGCGGCCGTAGCGTTCGCAGCTGTTGATAAACTGCTTCAGATCCCGTCGCGTCCAGTCGCCAAAGCCTTCCTTCTCCAGTTCCTCCAGCTCCTTGGCATCGGCAGCCTCCATCTCTGTCTCATTCAGCTCCTTCTCAAGAGCAGCAGAGCGCGCGTCGTCGCCTTCTCCTTCCTCGGCTGAGTTTGCGGCAGACTCTTCCTCCTTCGTCTTGTCCCCAGACTCTTCCCCCTTGGCCTTCCGCGCCTTGACTCGCGCCTCGTCCGCCTTGGCTTCCTTGATCAGACGCGTCAGCTCCTTCCGACGATTCTCCACCTGTGTCTTCTTCGTGAGTAGAGCCACCATACGATCCTGTTGGAAGAACTGGTAGTCGTGCACAACTGGCACTTTGGCGGCGTCAGATCCCGATTTCTTGGGCTTCTTGGGCTTGGACAGACCTGCTTGCTGACGGTAATACTCGTCTTCATTGTAGTTGGACTTGCGTTCACGCTGAGGGAGAGCAATGAACGTGGACGGCAGGATGTCGCCGTTGTTCGTGTCTTTCGAGAACACTTCGCCTTCAAACTCATAGAGACTCGAGACATTGGCGTTGCCGTTGTCGCCCGAGAGCGAGAAGTTGGCCAAGTTGTGCTGCATATCAGCAGCAATCTTGCCTTTCATGGACTCTGTGCGCTCTTCTCCTCGAGCCAAAATGGCGTCGATATCGTCGTCCGTAATCATCGACCCACGAGCATTGAAGATCTCGTCAGCACCGAAGCGCACCATCGTCATGAGCTCGTCCTTGGACAGTTTCCGGTTCTGTTGAGCTAGACGACCTTGCTGGATGATAGCGGCATCCAGATACAGCTTCCGCTCTGCACGCTCCACGATCTTCTCTTCCACGGTACCGTCCGTGATGAAGCGGAAGACACGCACGATCTTCGTCTGGCCGATACGATGCGCGCGATCCATAGCCTGCAGATCTACCTGCGGGTTCCAGTCCGAGTCGAACAAAATCACGATATCTGCAGTAGCCAAGTTGATACCTAGACCGCCAGCTCGTGTACTCAGCAAGAAGCAGAACTTGGAGCTGCCAGGCTCGTTGAACTCTTCCATCATATTGTCACGGTCTTCTCCCTTGGTAGATCCATCTAGACGGCAGTAGTCGTGGCTGAAATACCGCATGTAGTCCTCCAGAATGTCCATCATCGACGTCATTTGACAGAAAATCAGAACTCGCGAGCCCTGCGCTTGAAGCTTGGGCAGCAGTTTGTGCAGTAGCGTCATCTTTCCACAGTTCTCCCACAGATGCGGCCCTTCCTGGTACGGCGGACCAGGCTCTGCACCTTCGAACAAGTACGGATGGTTGCAAACCTTCCGTAGCTGCATCAGAATGTTGAGTAGACGAACGCGGTCACTGCCGCCGATAGCGTTGAGGTGTGTAGCGTCCCGATGCAGCACGCGCATGTACCACTCGCGCTGCATCTCCGAAAGACCGACATAGAGCTTCGTCTCGATCTTCGGAGGCAGCGAGTGCTCTACATCTGCCTTCAAGCGACGCAGTAGAAAAGGTCGCAAGATCGTGTGCAGCTTCTTGATGACATTCTCCTGTCCTTCCTGCTCGTCCACGTTGAACCAGGCGTCGAAATCCTCGGAATCCGAGAACACGTCGGGTAGCAGAAAGTTGAGCAGCGCCCACAGCTCGTGCAGATTGTTCTGCAACGGCGTTCCGGTGATCAGCAGTCGGTGCTCGACTTTAAACTCCCGCACGACCTTCGAGAGCTTCGAGTTCTCGTTCTTGACGCGATGGGCCTCGTCGATCAGCAGATACTTCCACTTGATCTTCTGCAGAATCGACTTCTCGATGATAGCCACTTCGTAGGACAACACGAGAGCGTCGAAGTCCTGTCTCACGACGGTTTCCCTCTGTACTGCACGCTCGTCTTTGCTGCCCATGAACTTGAAGGCTTTAATCGAGGGACACCATCTCTTGAGCTCCCTCATCCAGTTGCCCACTGTACTCTTAGGTACGATAATGATATGAGGGCCTTCGATGCCTCGAGCTTCTCTTAGATAGGCCAAGAGCGAGATACTCTGCAGGGTTTTACCCAATCCCATCTCGTCGGCCAAGATGCCGTTCACGCCCGAATCGTGCAGTCGGATCATCCAGTTGAGGCCCTCAAGTTGATATGGCTTCATAGTACCGAATTTGATGATCGACGGCTGCTGCGTGATTCTCGTGTAGCGAGCATCGTCCATATCTTGCAGAGCCTGGGCGTCGGCTTGTTTGCTGCCTTTCCCGCGCTTTGAGCCCGCCTCTTTGGCTGCCTTGTTACGAGACATCTCCTTGCCCAACGCACTACTGCCACCCATGAGGAAGGACGTAAAGACGTCGGATTGGGCCATCAGGAAGGCCATTTTCTTGTCTCGAGCAGACTTGCCCTCCCACTCGGCATCTTGCGCCATCGACTGCTTAACCAGGTCCAGAGATTTGCTCTGACGGTCGCGTTGCTCTTGGAGAACAGCCTCTTCCTCTCTACGCAGCGCCTCGCGCTCTTCCTTGGACAGCAGCGACTTCTTCGTGTCCTCCGAAGTGTCGTCCATGTCCTCGTCGTCTGCAGTGTCGTTTCTCTCCACCGAGTCGCCTTCGTCCATGGACGCGTCATCCTGGATGCTCTCGACGTCGTCTTTCGACTTGGGCGAGGGGGACGCGCTGGTGCTGGGGCTCGAACTGGGGCTGCTGGCCTCCGCCATTTCTGCTTATCGAATGATGGCTCGAGGGCGTGTTCCGACCGTTTGGCGCGAGAATTAATAAGTACGAAGTAGAAGTGGGTCACATATTTGATGTGGCAGGGTCCTTCTTTCATGTACACCACACGAATTATCGTTTGTTTTGCTTGGCTGGCATTTGTGTATCAAGCGTCGTAGAGCTCAGTTATGGCGGAGCATGAGGAATACGAGGCGCAGACGCCGCAGCGGCCGGAGTACGCTCACCAGCATCAGACGCATATTGCAACCTACAGCTAATATTGATTTTTGTATTTTAGACGTGTGCGTCCGCGTCGCCTGGAGCCCGACACTTTGTCCTATCTGAAGGAGGTGACGGAGATGTTGACGCAGCAAGGTGAAGACTCAGCAGACGACGCTGAGCTGCTTCTCTGGAATGTCCTTGAGGAGCTGGCTCCGCGTGCTGCTAGTGCGGCTTCGGACCGTCACGCCGGCGAGCTGCTGGAGGTTTTCTTGCCCAAGATGAGTGACGCTCAGCTGCGTTTCTTGCTGCACAAGATGGCAGGCTACGTGAGTCATTTGTGGACCAACCGCTACTCGTCCCACGTACTGCAAAATTTGTTCTCGCGTGCCAGTGTCGTAGTGTCTAAAGAAGTGGACGGAGACGAAGACGACAACAATGACGATGACGACGAGAGGATGAAGGAGATCCCGCCTATGAGCGACGTCATCATCAACATGGTCAAGGAGGTGGAGAACGAGTGGATCACTCTGATGAACGACGTCAGTGCCAGTCACGTCCTGCGCTCTGTGCTCGCAGTACTGGCTGGCAAGCCTCTAGTGCCCGAAAAGCGTGGCAAGAAGGCCAAACACCGAGTCGTCACCTTCACAGAAGCTCGTCCTGGCAAAGACGGATCAGAGATTATCTACGACGTGCCAAAATCATTTGAGAAGCTGTTTAAAGAGCTGCTGGCTGTGCTGATCGAGAGCTCAACACATGAGCTGCAGAACTTGCTGTACGACCAGAACTCGGGTCCTCTGATTGCCTCAGCGCTGAAGCTGGCACCTTCGAAGAGCCGGCGGAAATTAGCAGAACGCATTCTGCAGTGGGAGGACGAGGACGCGTGCGAACGTGGCTTCTATGACTTGGCAGCCGATGCCGTGACCAGCCACTTGCTGGAGTCTCTGTTCGAAAGTGCCAGCGACAAGTTCTTCCCCAAGGTATTCGAGCGCTGCGTGCGCGGCAAGATGCTGCAGCTGGCTGAGCACAACATCGCCAATTACGTGGTGCAGCATGTCATTAAGCTCGTGCGTACCGAGACGCTAGCGTTGGAAGTACTGGAGGAACTGGAGGCTTCTCTGTGGACGCTACTGACCATGGGCCGTCCTGGTGTCATTTGGCGTGTAGTGGAGATGTGTGTCAAGTTCAAACTGCGCCAGAAGGAAGTCTTTGAGTCGCTCGTGAGCGCTGTGAACAAGCAGGAGAGCAAGAAACCCGACGCAGTTCGTAAGAACTTCGTGGCGTCACTGCTCAGTGTGCAGCTGTCGACGTCTGCTACGTCGGCCAAAGTGCAATTGAACGTCATGGGCGCGAAGATTATCGAGCAGATGCAGCAGTTGGAAGCTGGCGATTACTTGACGCCGCTGTATAAGGGCATTCTCTCGTTCAACTCTGTACAGCTCATGGCCTTAGCGAAGGACTCGACTGGCAGTCGCTGCATTGTAGAGCCCATTTGGGAGTCGAAAGACCCCAGCACAGCGTGGGTTCGAGAGGAGCTGTACCAGCGATTCGTGGGCAAGTTCGGCACGCTGGCTACGGATCGTCTGGGTGCTTTCTCGGTCATGAAGTGCTATGAAGACCTGCCACTGGACAAGAAGGAGGCCGTCGTGCACGAACTCCTCGCAGTGGAGACGCAGCTTAGTGGCAGTCACTTCTCGCAGCTCGTGATGAATACGTGTCACTTGTTCGAGTACAAGCAGAGTCGTGAGAAGTGGGAGGCGCTCTACACCAAGCAGCAGAAGATCGCAGACTTGTTCAAAGATGTGGTGGAAGGCGACGAGGCGACGAAGGACGGCGTCAAGACACACAAGAAGCACAAGAAGGACAAAAAGTCCAAGAAACGCAAAGCAGCTCAACTCACCGAGGAGGAGGCTGAACAACGCAAGGAGGAGGCTGCCAAGAGTGCGGATGTGGCTATGATTATGGATGCGCTGCGGAGTGGCGCTGCTGACAAGGACAACAAGACCAAGAAGAGCAAGAAGAGCAAGAAACATCGAAATGAGGAATACTAAATGCTACATGTAGTTGGTCCCTTATCAGAACAATAGAGATGATTCCGCTTCTACGCTGTAAAATGTTCCGACTCCGCGACAAACCTTTTCTAACATTTTTTGTCAGATTTTTTAATTCTAGAAATTTATTTTAGGGATCCGCATAGCTCTTTTTCCAACGTTTGAAAAAAACTCTCTATGTTCAACCAAGTGGGTGGATGCGTCGATGGTCCTGTGGTATACAGGCTGTATACCACTCAAAAGTTTACGAGAGGGTGGCATTTTAATCTTCTCGACGCAAAGCGTGCAACAAATTCTCCAGCTGCTAGAAAGAGATCTTCATTCGACAGCAGGAAAAATTATTTGGTGTCCATGGCGGAGTTGGTGGTGGCACCCAAGGACTTCGAGTGCTGATTGCCAACTTAAGAGAGTGCGCACAACGACCTTCCATCACTTGATTACAAGGCCTCACAGCAGAGGGTGATACACAGTAACGTGAAGGTTAGTAGCAATCGGGTAATACTGTACACATCCTAATATTTTGAAAACTGATATCTCGATAAATCCGATTCTGTCGGATAGTAAGAAAAATATAATACTTATTCCCCTCACATCACCAACTATCAGATAGATACTACATTTTGGTTTTATAAAATCTCGCTACGTGTGTGGAGCCTTAAAACTCGAAAGGGCATAGCAAGATAGGAGCTACCCGAACATTTAGGGCACACTATTCAATTTCACATGTCAAAAGAAAAGTGTCACTAAATTTTTCACCGGTGTACATCATGGCGTGCTGCATCTGTGTTGTCATATAGATTAGATTACTAAGGCCGTGTTCGCGGCAAACGACGTTTTACTAAAACTGCGTTTCAGAGTTGTAATCTATTTTTGACGATGATTTGGCCAGCGATGTGAAACGTCGTTTCGCTCAGTTCTTGTTCGCACGCAACCAGCGTTTACCCTGACCACCCACACCTGGACAAACGGACTGCCTCTTCACAAAGAATGCTGGACGAAATCTTCCTGTTGCTTGTTGCTGCTGTGTGTGCTCGACTGGTGCAGAACCACCGCTTGTCGAGGCGGGCTGCTCACGAGAATATGGTGCGCGTACTAGGTCTGATGACGGCAGACGGACAGCGGTTCTTTGACGCCATTCACTCATCGAGAAATTCCTTCCTGTTTCGGGATCACTTCAGGATGGACGTGGCCGCATTTGACGCATTGTTCGAGCTCTGCCAACCGTTCATCGTTGACACCGTCCGCAACCAACGTGAGGTACTGGCGGTGGCTCTCCACTGGATTGGAACGGCATCTACATGCCGCATGCAAGAGGTGCTATTTGATCTAACGTTTTCTACGATTCACAAGGTTAGAATCCGAAGTATTCGAGCGATTTTGCGTGCGATAAACAGCTCGATGGAGATACCTAAGCAGGTTCCATCGTTTTTCTTGTTGAAGCACCCCTACTGTATTATCACCAGGCCTTGGGGGCAATTGATGGAGCGCACTTTCAAGTGGTTGTGAGCACTGAGGATACAGCTCGCTTTAGAAACCACAAGGGTTTTGTCACGACCAATGTGCTACTGTTTTGTAACTGGAGTATGAAAATTTGTTTTGCTTATGCGGGAGCTGAGGGAAGTGCGCATGATGCGACTGTACTACGATGGAGTTCTCTGCTCGACCAATTACCAGAACACTTTTACGTTCTAGGAGATGCTGGATATGGCCTAAGTAAACAGGTGTTAACTACCTTTCGAGGGGTAAGATACCACCTGAAGGAGTGGGCGACTAGTGATGCTGGTCGCCCACGCAACCCAAAAGAACTTTTTAACCTACGACATGCGAAGGCTTGCAATGTTATTGAGCGTACCATTGGAGTTTTAAAGCGTCGCTTTAAGGTCCTCCGCACATGTATGGATTACGAAATGAAGACGATAAAATCTGTCATTTACGCTTGTGTTTTAACGCACAATTTTATCCGTGAGTATGATGCATCGGACCTTGGGTCCAATCTCGCCTCTTCTCGTCATGATACGCGTCGTCACCGTGCTGTAAATGAAACTTTTGATCCGATTCCGTATGACTTCGACACTTCTGACAATTGGCGATCTTGGATGGCAGGCACAATGTGGGAGGAGTATCAAGAATTCTCGGGTAATGAAGATGACAGCGACATACCCGAAGATGAAATTTCAAGTGGTACGAGTGATTCTGACAAAGAAAGGAGTTCCGGCAGTGAAAGTGGTTCTGTAAGCGAGTAATAAGCATGAAAAAAATCATCTTTACGCTACTAAAGTCCCTGAAGAGAACGATGAAAATGAAACTATCATGATGGTCACCCGTGCACGTTACCTTGGCCTGTTATTAGCCCGTGTCATCATACGCCATCTCGAGCTCAGTCGTCCGACGAAGGCGATGCGCGTCTTTGAAGCTCCATCACGGATACGCTTTACGGTCTGGACACGACGCTCGTGACTTGGGTGGAGGTCTTGCGCGGCAGCGGGGGTGGTCACAGAGCTTTGCTCGCCACTGTCGGGAAGTAATGTCTCATTGGGCTGCGGTAATGCAGACTCTTCTTTTTCCGTGGCGTCTTCCAGCAGGCCAAGCAGGCTCTGAACGCGTTCCGCATCCGCACCTGTCGCTCTTGAATCACCTGCACAGACGAGTTTAGTTTAATTTCAGAGAAAATAATGTATCGCTTACCTGCAATTAGACTGCAGATGGTCTCGTGTTCAAAGCCGTTCTTACGCATCTCCTTGATGCGACCTCGCAGCTTGGTTGGTTTGGCGTCGATCAGTTTATCCCAGACGTCGTCATCAAGAAGAGGTTTCCCCGTTTGAGGGCAGGTACCGCATCCACTCAGCGACGTAATCTCCTTGAATAAATCGTAGTCTTGCATCAGACGCTGCACCTTGGACTTGTATTGCCCTGTTGAACGAACATAAGAAACGCAGTATCTTAGCTAAAAAGCTTCCGTTACCTTTGTCCAGAGTCTTCTTGAGCTTGGTGCTCAAAGTAATTTTGATCTCCTCCCACGCCTTGGATTTGACACCTTTATCCGTGGCCTTTGACGGGTCCTTTCGTGCCTCAAAGTACCTCTCCAACATTGCAAGCTCCTCGCCCCTAGTCCACGCTGCACGCTGGGCAGCAGCAGCATCGTCTCGTGTGCTCATCGAGAACACCTTCGGGTCGTTAGGGGGAGGATTTTGCAGTGCGCGCAAAAGCAAAAATGGCAAACTTTGGCGCCTAACAGGATCTTGTCAGTGTGCTGAGGGGATACGCGTCGCTTTAGGCCCCAGCCAAATACGGGCCAAACAAAATTCACCTCCGGGCATGAATTTGAAAATGGGGTCCGAAACGACGTTTTGCGACCAAAACTGCGTTTCGAGGGTGGCGTGTTCGCGAGCGCGCACTTAGTCCCAAACGTCGTTTCGACCGAGATAACTACGTTTTCGAGGGGTCGCGAACACGGCCTAAAGTACGCGTGATCATATCAAATTATTATTAAAGTCTCTCTGCTCCCATCACAGGCTTTACCAGCCTCTTCAAAATTTGTCCTCAGCACTTTCAGATTAATCCGTAGTAGACGATAGCTCGTAATCAGGGTTCGGTAGTAGTGGATATTCTGATTACAAGTAGTTGTGATAGTGATATGCATAACCCGATCTTGAAAATATAGTTTACTTATGCGCTAGTACTCTACCTGATGGCGATATCACGAGCACTACTAATATCACTACCATTATCACTACTAACGAGACTGAAACGGCAACCAAATACGGTGATTGCTCTCCACCATGCGCTGGAGCTCCGTGCGGTTGTGGCGAAGCATCAGCTGCCGCTGAGCTCGCTTGTTATCGGTCCTGGTGCGCAGACGACTCATGACGAAGAATCCAGTAGAAAAACGCTTTCTTGAAAGGCAGTTGAAATACTACGTCCGAACCACGCACGAGCTAGTTTAGCGACCGAAGGGAATGGCTTCTTTCCTGTCTCGACGTACCAGCGGCACACATCAGCATGCTGGCATACAAGTTTCACTTGCCATACACGCTGATCGTGTTTATTTGTACCGGTGAGTTTCAGTATCACCTTCTCCCACTCCGGAAGCTGCTGCCTTACCACTTCCTCCCAGTCAACCCGATAGTTCAGCCACTCATCTAGCACATCATCAGCCTTAAAATTCAGCGAATCTTCAGGGAGGCTCTCGTCGGCGACCATACAGACTTCATCACCATACATTAAGTCCTCTTTGGGGTCGGAAGCGCTGTCACACTCTGATCTCTCTGTAGCTGGTGAAGTGAGATCGCGTTGAGGCTCATTCGCATGCAGAGCTTTGTCTCCGCCACGTCTTGCCAGCAGTAGTTTACCTTAGCACACCGCATCAGTTGTGGCTTTTGTTATGCGAATCTAGAAGTGAGGAGAAGCCAAAAGGGGGAGACAGCTGCGTACGACCTTGAAGAATTTAAATGGGTTCGCGGCTATCTCGGAGTAGTACTTACAAGAGTGCCAACCTATTTTAATAATACTTGTAGATATAGCACTGCTAATGCCATTTTCTTAGTGCCATAGTAGAGGTAATATGCAAAGTATGACCTACTATTATCAATATGCTGGAGGCTACTACCGAGCCCTGCTCGTAGTAGTTTACTCTGTCGCATTAGCAGCGGAGACTGCACATTTCAGGCATCTTGCTGCCCACTCATTTTGTCATTAGTGTCTCTGACATGAACGACATCTTTGCACACTCAGTCTTATCTACAATCGCGTCCACTCTAGAGTCGTTTCAATTCATAGAGACTATTACTCTCTGCCCACAGCTCTTAAAGCAGTTTAATGAGAGCTTCAGCGTCCGTGATGTGCAGTGCAAAGATCAGATTGAGCTGTACGTACGAGCCCACGTAGCCGTGACGCTGGTCTATAAAAAACAAGGTTGGGCTGCCGGTAAAAACGAGTCCACGTACTTCTGGTTGAGTATCTGTTTCTCCGCCGTCTCTCCAGACTGCCGCATATGCCGGTGC